CTTTAACCCCTGGGCTGCCAGTTGCCTGTCCTTACATATGCCTTCGCGTGTCTTCAGATGTTACCTGGCCACAACATTTTGTCTAGACTGCTTGCTGACACATGCCTGTTAGTAATTTTTGGCATGTGTTCAGAAAGTTAAATAAAGAACAAACTAATTTTAAAAAACTTCCTTGTCTGGTCACCTGAAGCCACAGGCAAGTGGGTGAGTGGCTTTTTACAAGCCTGCCTAACATGATATTATACTGCCCTGAAATAGATGCTTAGATGCATCGTATTTTGCAGAGAGTGTCTCAGCAGCTCCTGCCAGCTCTAGGCAGCATTGCCAATAGTCAGAGATGATGGGAGTTGTAGTCCAACCTCACCTGGAGGACACTACATTAGGTATCCTTGATTTAAGATATTCAGTTTAGCTTGGTTACCACTATCCTACTCTCTTCTAGCTTAGTTACCAGTGCCACTACTACTTTATGGAAATCCAAGGTACGTGTTTGACTTCGCTCACATTTACCATTCCAGAAGATCATGAATTCCAGCATTACTTTCCCCAAAGTTCATGCTACAATACTACATAACTGTGCCCTCTTGGTTAAGGTCAAATATTCACAGCATCATTGTGAGAAACAACCTACCTCCTCCCACACTGTCAGTGTCTCCAGAATGTCACTAGTTTGCAGGAGGGATTCAAGTGTATCCCGGAAATGTAGGTTTGTGCAATTAAAGTGGGTGAAAGTGCTGTCGCCCTAGCACAACAAATCCACTTTTAAAACGAATAAATAAATGGATTTTTTTGTGGTTTGGAAAGTGACAAGCCAATCTCCTGAAAGGTGTAGGATAAACAAATGATTTATAGGAAGATGTAGAAATACAGTGCAAGTACATTGAAATGAATGCTCATTGTCATATGACACTCCCCAACCTCAGTAAACAAATCAGACAAATGTTCAATAGACTGGACATGGCGTAAGCTTTGTGCAAGCAAATAAGCACGAACATTCAATAAACAGGACTTCTGGCAGAGCCCTATGCTTCTTGGAGGATGAGAATACTAACCAACTAACAGCAGCACAAACATGGCCAGCATTGGCACCTATCTGAAAGATATTATTTATGTACCATGAAAATAAGCCCTTGCTGCATTTTGGACGGTTTGGAGAGCATGACCTCAGAGGCAGAGCCCTGGCTTCCTAATTTTCTGTGCTTCCCCAAATGAATAAAACTCAGGAAAAGGATTCCTAATTGCATGATGAACAAGCAGAGCTTGTTCCCTTTCTTTCCAGATGGTTGAATTGAGCTAATGGAGCAACAAGATCACCCTGGACATCTCATTCCCAGGACTGAGCCTTTGCATCATGCTTCATGGATTGGCAGGGGCGTTCCCAGCATCTGGCCAGGTTGGGCAGTAGTCCATGGATGTCTGAAGGGCCACCAAGACAAGTTCTGGTTTTAGTAGCCTGATTGGATCTCTCTCCCTTCTGCTGTCTGAGCGGGTTTCTTGTGAAAGCATCACAAACAATGCCATTTTACCAGGAGTGGCGCCCTCCCTGTGGAACGCCCTCCCACCAGATGTCAAAGAGAACAACAACTACCAGACATTTAGAAGACATCTGAAGGCAGCCCTGTTTAGGGAAGCTTTTAATGTTTGATGTATCACAATATTTTAATATTCTTTTGGAAGCCGCCCAGAGTGGCTGGGGAAACCCAGCCAGATGGGCGGGGTATAAATAATAAATTATTATTATTATTATTATTATTATTATTATTATTATTATTAGGAGAGGAATAAAAAGCTTGGAGACAGCATTTCACTGCCTTCAGGCTGAGGTTCCTATCCTATGTGAGGGTTTGCTTCACTTCTGTTCTTGCTTGTTCACTGGTCCTCAATGGGAAAGGTTAATTAAGGACTGTGAGAATTAGCAAAAGGTAGGGCAAAGAGGAGGAGCAGATCTCTTACCCAGGGGCAAATCCTTGACTGCCTCTTGCCCACAGAAACCTGACACCGGTCTTAGAGATTGGAGATCTTATTTCAGCACCAGAGGCTTCTGCATAAATTGGCGCCTTGCACAGCTGCCCAGACACCAGGGATGATTGCAGAAGCAACAAGGATCACACAGTCTGTTGGTACCAGACTGTCCTGGAATAAAGGAAACTGCCTTTTCAAATATTATTGCCACCTGAACTTTGGGTTGTGTACTAAAGTGTATGAGAGGGAGCATGATGAAATCTAGATGTGTCCACCTGGGTGTTTTGTACAGGGCAAGAGCACCTCCTAAAACCTGTATTAGGGTGTGGTGCTCTAGAGTAAGTGGCTCCAAAGAAACTGAGCTCTGCAATCCAACTCCCCAGGAAAAATGATAGCAGGCATAACCAGTGTGCCAACTGTGGCTAAGCATGTGCTTGTCCTATCTATACTGTGATATTCATGCAGGATGGGAAGGTAGCCTATCAAGGAGATGGAAAACTCTGATTCTAAATCTTCACTGCCTTGTTAAGGCTAAGGAGTAAACCCTACACAAAATGGTAGTGGAGTCCCTAAGACGGTTGGACTCCTGCAGCCAAGCTAGTGCAAAAGTATTGCTCTGCTCTCCTTTGGACCACATCAGCAAGGCTGAGAGGGGAATCTTGTCATCTGGGCAGTCCAGGACCTCCATACAAACTGCCCAGGCTAGCTTCCCAGGGAGGAGAACCTAATAGAAGAGCCTGCTGGATGCTGCTCATCGAGTCCAGCATCCTGTTCTCACAGTGGCCAACCATGGGATGAGCATGGGAAGCATGCAAGCAGGACCTGAGCTTGACAGCACTCTTCCCTCCTGCGGTTTCTAGCAACTGGCATTGAGCAACACACAGCCTCCAAAAGTGGAGGTATTCAGACTAATATGTGGCTAACATGCAAGGGAAGGTGAACCCACCCAACAGCTTTGTGCCTCCCTAAAGGTAAAGGCAAAGGGACCCCTGACCATTGTCCAGTTGTGGCCGACTCTGGGGTTGCGGCGCTCATCTTGCTTTATTGGCCAAGGGAGCCGGCGTACAGCTTCCAGGTCATGTGGCCAGCATGACTAAGCTGCTTCTGGCGAACCAGAGCAGTGCATGGAAACACTGTTTACCTTCCTGCCGGAGCGGTACCTATTTATCTACTTGCACTTTGATGTGCTTTCAAACTGCTAGGTTTGCAGGAGCAGGGACTGCGCAACGGAAGCTCACCCCGTCGCGGGGATTCGAACCGCCGACCTTCTGATCGGCAAGTCCTAGGCTCTGTGGTTTAACCCACAGCGCCACCCGCGTCCCATTTGTGCCTCCCTTCCGCCACCCTTAATATTGAGATACAGAGCAGAGCAGTACAGTCTGCATGCAAGGCTTGGCTATCAAAGTTCTGCTCTTCAAATAGAGGTTGGGGGCAGATTTGGCCCCATTCTCCCTTCATGAATTGGCTATTAAAGTACCCATTTCTTCTCCGTGCTGCTAAAATCTTTATCTGCTGTTTTCTGCACCTCTGTTTAAGGCCAAGAGGAGGCCAGGCTGCTTTTGTTGTTGCTTTCCTGGACAGCTGGCAACCCCTACCCCGCACTCCACCATCAGACTCACATGTTGGAAGATGTTGGCTGAAGTAGCTGTACACCTCATAATGGAATATGAGAGTCACAACATGAACGAAGAATAGTCATGGCATTATATAACCATCCTTCTGGCATGTGTTTTCCGAGCGTAGTATGATTGTGCTCCTCACTGGGTGCAGGTGACACAGCGGTGTCAGGATTGCATCATGCTGCAGGCCCTGGCAGTTTTAGGACCCAAACGTACCCTGCTCCGAATCCAGCTGAGCCAACCTTCTGCTCCTCAGGAGCTGCTTCAATCCGATGTACACTCAGTTTTTCCAGGACTCCACCTCCCCGCAGGGTGATAATGGATGTTCCCTCTTTCTCAGCTGCTGTAGCAGGCTGTTTTGAAACCCGTTCCAGCCTTCAGTTACTCATAGCTTACTGTTAAGTAAATAACCCTTCTTCTCACTTCCTGATCTTTGTGGCAAAGCCATTCTTTTGCTTTGATAATTGTTTCCCCTCAGTACAACTGTTTAGGCTGTGTACACACCATGCATTTAAGACATCCCCCCACAAGAATCCCAGCAACTGTAACTAATAATAATAATAATAATTATTATTATTAATACCCTGCCCATCTGGCTAAGTTTCCCCAGCCACTCTGGGCAGCTTCCAATCGAGTGTTAAAAACTTCCCTAAACAGGGCTGCCTTCAGTTGTCTTTTAAAAGTAAAATAGTTGTTTATTGCCTTGACATCTGCTGGGAGGGCATTCCACAGGGCAGGCGCCACTGCCAAGAAGGCCCTCTGTCTGGTTTCCTGTAACCTCACTTCTCACAGCGAGGGAACCGCCAGAAGGCCCTCAGCGCTGGATCTCAGTGTCCGGTGGAGGTGTCCGATGGGGGTGGAGATGCTCCTTCAGGTATACAGGGCCGAGGCCATTTAGGGCTTTAAAGGTCAGCACCAACACTTTGAATTGTGCTCTCCTTTGCAGAGCTACAATTCCCAGCACCCTTAGCAAACTACACTTCACAGGATTATTCTTTGGGCACAGGGGAAAATGTACTTTATAAATGCTTCAAATGTATGGTGTGTATTCAGCCTTAAGAGGGAAGGAGAGGCTGGCTGTGTAGACATTACCGGTTTAAAATGCGCTGAGGTTTTTTCTTGCTGCATTTCAAGTCTGATTTGCCCGTCACTATACCCCTCAGCATGGGTTGAGGTGTATTGAAATCACCTGCTATTTGCCCATTTCATCACCCAATGGAAATGCCTTGTTGGTTTCCCTGCCCTTGTGTCCACCCCCCGATAATCCCCCCCCGATAATCTGGACAGAATGGAAGGTTGTGCAAATGTACACACCTGGGATTCAGTTACAGGTAGGTACCCGTGTTGGTTTGCCATAGCCGAAACAAAATAATGATAATAATAAATTTAAATAAAATAATAAAAATAAAAATAAATATACTTCCAGTAGCACCTTAGAGACTTAGTTGGTCTCTAAGGTGCTACTGGTGCTCTAAGGTGCTTAGAGACATAGTTGGTCTCTAAGGTGCTACTGGAAGGAATTTTTTTATTTTGTTTCGACCTGGGATTCAGTGTCAGTTAAATAAGCATACCATGCTCAAGTTGGCCTGAAGCTGGCTTGAAGGAAACTACATCAGAACACGGTCTTTTTCCAGAAACCATGAGATGGCTCTGGATCCTGGGCAAGTTTGTGTGTACATGAATTCAAAAACAGACAGCAGGAGCGGACTGGAGCCAGAGTAAATGGCAGTGTGTACACAGCCAGAGGGGGAGCGAAATAAGCAAGATGTTTAGCATTGTTGATGTCAGTTGTGCACTGGGCCTCTTTCAGGTGGCAAGCACTTATCTGCTCTCTCTGCTGGGTACCTTTTCTGAGGACATCTCAGCACTCCTAGTGAGAAACCCAGCCACAAATAGTCATCCTTGATGTCACCTTGTCATTTGTCAGCGGCATTGATGTTTAGTAATGATGTAGCCTTCCCTCTTAGAAGTGCATTATGTAACTGCAGAGAGAGAAGGCTTTCTCAGGACTGACACCCTGGCTTTGTTATATCTTCCCTAAAGAGGTATAATCTTTACAATCTTTTTGGCACCAGGTTAAGACATCATTATTTACCCAGGCATTTTAATTCCCCAGGGTGCTTTGTAATTTTTGACCTGTTATCGTTTACTATGGCTACAAACATTTGTGTTTTATTGTATGGTACAGCAGTTTCAAATTAATTTATTGCTTGTCTTCTTGAACACCGTCCTGGAAATTGGTTTTGATGAAGGTGGTATAAAAACATTTTAAATAAATAAATAGCAGCTAGCGTCTATCAGCTCACTAATTCCCAAAACAACCCAGTGAAGTTGGCTACTGTTGTTATCTTAAAATGCAGATAGGCAGTGGACACTGAGAGAGAGAGTTCCCTATCTAAAAGCCACTCTGGACTTTCATGGCTGTGGTAAAATGTTAACCAGGGACTTTGTGGCCCACAGCTCATTCTCTTAAGCAGCTCCCAATTACAATTACAGTACTTCCCCTTCTTCAAGCACTTATGAACCACTTAAACATTACCACTGTGACCACTGCATCATCAAGGTCTCAGGTATCATCAGGTCTGAGCGTCATCTAATTTTCACTAGTAAAGCAATTTGCTGCCAGAAATGTGTGATTTAAGTTTCAGCTCCCCAAAGGCAGTACATTGCTATTACATCATCGTGGAAAGTGGAGATTGTCTAGGAACTGTTTCTGTGGGGGTAAATGTATGTGAACAGTAAAGGAACTGATAAGTAGTTGCTCATATAGAGAAAGAGGAGTCATTTTGTGAGCGTGACATAGATTATTACGCATAATTATTACATAATGTTCATCACAGGGTGCATACCTGGAGAGAAAGGAAAGCGTAGCCCCTGAGGGGGAAGATCATCTTTTTATGAGTCAGGGTTCACCTCAGAAACAGTCCCAGTGACATAAATAGTAAGATGATAATTTCAGGTGAAAGAGTCATTGAGATGGTCCTTGCGGCCAACGGAAGCATCTCTGGCTTGGTTCCAACTAGTTGGCTTTGCTTGCTTTGGGGAATAACCTCCTCTCATGTTACATAAAAACCTCATCCCAGAATCAGACTGATGTATCAGCCAGTTCCTCTGATGGATGCTGTGACCTTGGAAGTGAAGCATCAGTGGTGACTTAGAGACAACATGGCTTCCCAAGAAGACTGCCAAGGGAGGAGTATTGGGACAGTCACAAGTTTTGTAAAGCTGCCGGGCCTTTGTGGGACAGAAGTAAATGCTTGCATGTTGCTGTTCAAGCAAGAGGCTTGTCATTTGGTCTCCCTGTCTCCAGCATCTGGCCCCATTGTGCCCATTGTTCTGCGAGCTTCAAAAGCACAGTAATACTTGCAGTTTGCTTGTAAGAGAGTGCCTGAGAGCCACATGACCCGCAGTGTGCCTTCAGTTTTCAAGGGTGGGTTTGATCTCTGTTTGTTCTAGTTCACACTAGACTTGAACATGTCCATTTTAAATTTATATCACTTTCTCCATCGTGAGGTGCCAGGGCTGCCCCATCTAAGCAGACTCTTGCCTTGTAGTTTCTGCTTGGCACTTTTCATAGAGATGGGTCGAACACATGGCAAGATGGATTAAATAGCCCTTCTCATTCCAGCTCTGTTATTAATGTCAAGTGGGTAAAACCTCTGATATCTACCTAAAATTCACCAAGCAACATTTTAATTTGTTGCAGATTACCAGGGATTAAATGTCAGTTATCCTTGACACAGCATGCTTTTGTGGGAACTGGAGCTGCGTAGTAGATGTGTTACTCATAACTCTTCTCGTGAGAATCATCAGACTACTTCCCACTGGATCATATTATCATAAGAACATAAGAATGGCCCTGAATGGGGTAATTGTGCCCCTGAAGGACCAGGTGCGCAACCTGGGAGTCAATGGAGGCACAGGTCAATTCTGTGTCCAGGGCAGCTGTCTGCCAGCTCCATCTGGTACACAGGCTGAGACCCTATCTGCCGCGGACTGTCTCGCCAGAGTGGTGCATGCTCTAGTTATCTCTCGCTTGGACTACTGCAATGTGCTCTATGTGGGGCTACCTTTGAAGGTGGCCCAGAAACTACAACTAATCCAGAATGCGGCAGCTAGACTGGTGACTGGGAGCGGCTGCCGAGACCACATAGCACTGGTCTTGAAAGACCTACATTGGCTCCCAGTACGTTTCTGAGAGCAATTCAAAGTGTTGGTGCTGACCTTTAAAGCCCTAAACGGCCTCAGTCCAGTATACCTGAAGGAACATTTCCACCCCCCCCCATCGTTCTGCCCGGACGCTGAGGTCCAGCTCTGAGGGCCTTCTGGCGGTTCCCTCGCTGCGAGAAGCAAAGTTACAGGGAACCAGGCAGAGGGCCTTCTCGATAGTGGCGCCCGCCCTGTGGAACACCCTCCCACGAGATGTCAAAGGAAAAAACAACTACCAGACTTTTAGACGATATCTGAAGGCAGCCCAGTTCAGGGAATCTTTTAACGTTTGATGCACTATTGTATTTTAATATTTTGTTGGAAGTCACCCAGAGTGGCTGGGAAAACCCAGCCAGATGGGCGGGGTATAAATTCTGTTCTCACAGTGGCCAACCAAATGCCTGTGGGAAACCCACAAGCAGGACCCAGGCAGGAAAGTACTCTCCCTTTCTGTCGTTTCTAGCAATTGCTATTTCTAGCAACTGGTATTCCAGTTGTGGAGGCAGAGCATAGCCATCCAAGCTAGTAGCCACTGATAGCCTTGTCCTCCATGAATTTGTCTAATCCTCTTTTAAATCCATCCAAGTTGGCGGCCCTCACTTCCTCCTGTGGAAGCGAGTTCCATAGTTTAACTATGTACTGTGTGAGGAAGTGCTTTATTTTATCTGCCCTGAATCTTTCTGAATCACTCTGTAATTACGGCAATACCTCCATTTATTTTTATTTTTTATCCTGCCCTTCCAAAGGAGCTCAGGGCAGTGTACAGACATTCTCTCCTAATTCTGGCCTCGCAAGGTAGGTTAAGTTGAAGGAAAATTATTATTATTATTATTATTATTATTATTATTATCAGTAGTAGTACCACCATCATTTATTTAGCTGAAATGTGTGTGTGTGTGTTTGTAGACACATTTATTCTACAATTCTGTGGTTGTAAGTCTGGGCGTACACTGATATGGGGTGGTTAGTACTATCACAGAATACCACAGACAGGGAAAGATTGGGCAATTGTTTCATAATTGGAACACTGAAGTCACAAATTAAGCATGTAATTGCCATACTAAGTAATTATGCAAAGGTTAAGTTACTGGAATGTGCCAAGAAGGAAATGAAAGTACCCAAGTGGCACGGTGCTAGTAAGTCATAATGTATATTTTAAAAATGGCTGTAGTGACATGAGTGCTACCCTTATTGCACAGCAGAGACTTAGTAGCAATGGAACTTGGGGATTCCTTCTATCAGACTTGGATATAGTCATTTAATATGGCCCAGTCAGCTTTCTGCTTTACATTTCCCCTTGTTTCTTCTGATTTTTTTTTTAATTCTGAAATTTAAAATTAAATTCTGATTTATTTATTTCTTTGTTTTTTTAAAAGCGTGGGGTGTTAAACATTTTTTGTCTGGGTGCCATCCTAAAAAAAAAAGTTTAAAAGTCTGGGTGTTTTCTTTATGACCCATCCAGACCTGTGGCTTTACATTTGTAATTAGAGATTCTGTAGTAGAAGGAACAGCTGAAGTTGCAAAACCAGTCTCTTTGTGAAGTTAATGACCATAGCCACATCTGCTAAGTATATTTTTACATGACTAAAGTGTTGGCCAAGTACCAGGTGTGTGGCCATAGGAAGGACTGGCTAGTGCTGCTTCCAGAAGGAGGGAGCAAGCCATTCCCCCTGACCTAGCCAGAGGCCGTGTCAAAGCAGGTGTAGGAGAACAGCCTGCTATGCTCTCCTCTGGAGATGGGAAATGCAGAGGCTTGCCTTGTTCTCTGCTGAAACCACAGCCATGACCTTGTGAAGCCCCCTAGGAATCTCATGGGGGAGCAAAATCTGTTGGGTTGCTAATGCTGGGAACCCTTTCATCTTATGCGGTGTGTGTGTGTGTGTGTGTGGTGTGTAAATAGAACTATATATCGCAAAGACACCACAGGCTCTGGTAACCTCCGCACCAAGGAAACCAAGCGCAAAGTATGTGCTAGCACCCCTTGAATTTCTCACTGCACTGAGAGTGGGGTGTGCTGTGCACAACAATATTAAGCATATTCAATGGGGAGAGAAGCAGTACCATTCAGCTGGAAGCAAAGGCAACAGTGCTGATAAACGTCAGAGGATGTTGCCTTTGAGCAAGCTTGAGCAAGCCTATGGAATGCATCGCCACAGGATATTTCTGGGTGAAGTAGCTTAGCAGGATTAAATATGCATCTGAACAACTAGATCAAACCATTTCAAAGAATACTGGCTGTCTTGCTTATGGGCATGCACCAATTTCCTGATAAATCATTTCCTCTCTTCAGTTTGTATTTCTGGATTTG